GTCTCAAATCTCCTTCCCTTTAGCTGAATTTTCATCTTTGGGAAGAGGAAGAAGTCACACGGAGCTTAGAAAGGAAGTTGGGGTCGGTTCTTCCAAGATCTTTGAGCTCCTGACAAACGAGAAGTCGATTCTGCTTCTGGTCCTCAGACAGGATGCGTCGCATGTGGAGTTCTTCCTTTAGAACGGATGAATTTAATACTTGAGATAAGTGTACGGGTTTTTATATGCGCAGTCTTTAAACTTTCCGATCGCACCTCGTATGTCTTTATATAATTTATAGATTTCCTGATTAGTTTTTATCCTCCATTCACCTGCTTCTTGTATTGGGCCAAAAATTTTCCTCAGGATATTCCGTTCAAACAGATCCATTTTATCTGGTGAATTCTCGTTGAGTACCCATGTTTTACTCCCTTATGTCATTATGCTACGGATGAGAGTTTTATATAATGTGACTTTTACTTTCTTACTCATTCCGTGGAATTCTATCAGTGGTAATATCGAGAAAAATGCTTTATTGGCAGCTTGAATTCTGCTTTGTATTTCTACCATTTCCTCATTCTTATTTGTTACGCATACTCCCAGGTATGAGAATCTTTGCGCCACTTCTATTTCACGTTCCTTGATCTCTATATGATGGTCTAATGATCTGCTCCTTGTTTGTATTAAGGCTTTTGTTTTCCTTGTGTTAATTTGTAATCCAACTTCTTTCTCGCCAAGCACTTCAACTACTTCTTTGACTGATCTTTCCAAAATATTTATGTCATCCACATACCCTACTATTTGTTCAATTTTATATTCAAAAGTGCGTTTGGTGTCTTCTGCTAGTTTTCTAATTACATGTTCGAGGGGCGAGATTAAAGAGAAGTGGTGCTAAACCGTCTCCTCGCTTGTGGCCTTGATTTATTGTAAGGCTGTCTCCCAGTTGATTTTGTATCTTCACATGTGCTGTAGTATCTTCCATCGTCATATTCGTAAGTCTTATTAGTTTCCCATGTATCTTGAATTGGTGCATTATAAGACTGATTTAGTTCCATGTATGGAATCATATGCTTGTTCCTTCCCAACATTTTTCTAGTATTTCCTTCCGTTCCAAAGACAGAACATTAGCTACAATCAATTTAAGAAACCTGAAAATGGTGATCTTTTAGGATACTGCGGTCTGGTAGAAACTGACAGATGTTTCAGAGTTGCACTTCTGAAATGTCAGTCAATTTATACCGGACTAAACAGTGAAATACAAGACAAATTACCTTCTTGTCGCCACTGAAAGCTCAGATTTACAAACTACACAAATGATAATGTAAAGAAACATCTCCACTTTTGAAGGTGTATGAATGTAAAGTGGTTAAAACCAATGTCACATCAGACCTCAGCAGTTCCATTGAAAAGTACAAACGTTTCGTCTAAACAAATCAATCCAGCATTCCGTTGCTGAAATGCATATTGAACAGTTAGCGTTGGGTAAACTTCGATGAAAAATGTCCTGTGTTCAACCTCATCAAATGAAAAACAAAGCACAAAACAGGTTGCTTGTCCGGATATCAAATAAACTGAATATAAGTTACCACAAAAGCCACAAAAATTTAGATTCTACACTTGAAACGACGTTATAAACAAACGCAGCATATACGTAAACCTCGTTTCTTTTTTGTTGTTTATGAATCATCTGCATTTACCCAAAAACCACAGACTAATATAATAATTCTACAAAATTCGTGCATATACACAAGACGTGTAAACTGAAAATCTCATTTTTGAAAATATTGATTTTAACGATATCATTCATAATTATTTCACGTCAAAATGTGAAAGAAAAGAAAACAGCTATGTGATGCCTTTATAGGGGTATTGATACTACCGGTTCCGTTTAAAATGTGGTGGTATGCCACATTACCCTTGTAATCTCCAACGATGTGGCCTCAGGAGATTTGAATTAATTCTTTAACAAATTTCTAAACTCAGTTTGCACTTTGTTTCCTAACTACAGTCCTTAATATTTATAAATCCATAATTTTAATGAAGTAAACTGGTGTTGCTAATCAAGACGGCATCCACAATATATACGTCAGACAAAACACTAAATAATAATAATAAAAATAATAATATATATATATATATATATGATTATAGAATTCGTACAGTCTGAGACAACATATGTGACCTGTACTCAGAAGCAATGGTATTACCATAGTATGTACATAAATAAAGATCACTTTATTAATAAATTATACACACTTGTATTTCAAAATATATCCATCACAGTACATTGTAACATTATTTTAAATGAGATTAATTTTCTGATATAAACAGTTCCTTGTCATATTTTCCCCCAACAACCTTACTTTTAAAACAAACTTTCATCAGATTTAGAATTTAGGTTCCTGTCAAAAAAAAAAACATATACCATGACCAGAGATTTCTTGAAGGCAGAATGAGGACATCCATCTTCAGGTGTGTTGCACCTCGTAGTTTAGTAGCGTGACTGCCACACTATTTGTTATTGCTCTTAAACACGAAATGAAAATTTACAGAATTAAATCTTGAATAATGACACTCCTCACTCAATAGCAAAACTAAGCCTTTGCATTGCCAAAATTCAAATAAACCGCAATGACTGTGGGTTTCTTTATATTCCGCACAAATTGCACAAAGGCGCAAAGCGGTGTTGGAACTACACATTTACATTACGTCGCCCGCCATTCTTACAACACAGGAGAGGGTGCACAATATTTTACCTTTCGATACTTTGCATCGGTCAGCATTTATTAGTGACTGTAAGATACGATATCAAAAGATGATTTTCAATCTTGGGGTGACACCACGAAATGGCCGTCTTTTTTTTTCAGTTCCAGGTCAATTAATTCTGACGCATTTGCATGCTTGATGCAGTCTCCACGGTAATTTTAAAATTGTTACCTTCCGTCCAGGTACGGTGTCGTCTTTTATCATTGCAAGCTCGAGTGTCTGTAACACCAAACTTTATTTCCACTTCTGGTGGCACCAATGGGCTTACACCGACAACAAACGCTACGTGTTGTTATAAAAAACCTGCCTCATACTGACACTAGTCTGTTCTTCTTGTGTTGTGCGCCCAAAAGGGGTCATAACTTTTACCATGTTTGGAGCGAAACATGGTCAGTGGGAAAGCCAGAAATGTGTTTCTATAGAAGGATATTGAAAATTGAGTGGACTGATAAAGTACGAAATGAGCTGGTCTTAGACAGGATAGGCGAAGGAAGAAATTTATGGAAAAATCTTACGAGAAGAAGAGATAGGATGGTGGGACACATCCTGAGGCACCCAGGATTGGTTAATTTGGTAATGGAAGGAACAGTTGAAGGGAAGAATAGTAGGGGAGACATGATTGGAATGTGACGTAGATTTTTGAGGATGTGGGCTGCAAAAAATACGTGGAAATGAAGAGACTGGCGCAAGGCGAAAATGGAGGACCGCATCAAATCATTCGGAGGACTGATGACAAACAAAAAAAAAATCCTCTTGCAATTACAAGAAACTTTAAAGTTTTGATGACAACTATGTCCCCTCTTTTTCATCGTTTCATGTTGAGAATGAGATTGGAAAACAGAACGCCCCATCTCAATGTTACATATCAGGATACACACACGTGCTGGGACCACTACAGCCTTTCCTGCACATTCTATCAGACCAGTTCAGGGTGCGAGGTCCAGAATTCAATTGCCTGCAACAACAGTACTAACAGTCTCCCAGGACTAATCTGGGGGCAGCACATGGCAATTTTGGCTGTACCAACAAATACCATCAATTTATTGTCTTCCGACAACTGGGTTTGGAGAAAATGCGACTACAAGTTCCGTTATACTAAACAGCATAGTAACTTGCTTGCTTCATTGTGATCCACCGTTAAAATTAATATGATAGTCTGGAAATAAGCATAATATAAATTCACCTCAACAGACTACCTAGACTACCCAGAGAAGTCTGTTCCAAAAATCCATCGCACAGTCTCGCCCGTCAGCTACAGTGAATTAAAATTCCGCAGCTCATCGAAACAGACAATGGCCTGTGCGCACTTGAAGCATAAACGTAAGAAAAACTACATAACTCGAGAGCAAGGACGACTGTGGGAATGGAACATTCTTAACGCTGTCATTCTCACAAATTACATTCACTGTCAACATTTTCTACTCTCCAAATTTCGAATTCTTCACGTTTAATATAATTACACAACTTACATTTTAAATTTCTGTTGCAACAACAATGTAATCATTAGAAAATGAAGATACCGTGCGTCCTTATTTTTACGAGGTGCGATCGGAAAGTTTAAAGGCTGTGTCAATAGAGGGCGAACCGGATGTAGTACGAGCTTCTGCCGCTACATTCATAGTGAATCAGTGTGCCAGCCGGCATCATCGAATTAGCATTTGTTTCTTAGTTACGGGCGTTTTTGTAGTGCATTACACCGACCCTCCTGCGATTTCGGAATGGCGTGTGCATCAAATTTTGCCAAAGACTCGCCAAAACGGCTACGGAAACCTATGAAATGCTAAAGCAAGCATTTGGGGAGTCCGCAATGGGTCGTGCACAAACTTTTGTGTGGCATTCACGTTTTAAAAATGGCCGAACCTCTGTCGATGATGATGAGCGTTCTGGACGACCATCTTCGAGCACAACGCCCGAAACTGTTACGAAGATCGACGTCGTACCATCAACGACTTGTGCGACATTGTTGGGATAGGCTATGGGACCTGTCCGCTGATTCTAAAGGAAGAACTCCACATGCGACGCATCGCAGCCAAGTTTGTGCCAAGGCTCCTGTCTGAGGACCAGAAGCAGTTCGGCAGTTTTTGGCCTCAAACACCATGGCCGTCATCCCGCACCCTCCTTATTCGCCGTGTGCCTTCTTCCTCTTCCCAAAGATGAAAATTCAGCTAAAGGGAAGGAGATTTGAGACGATAGAAGAGATTCAGGCAGAATCGCAGATGGTGCTTGACAGGCTGACAAAGAAAGATTTCCAGGCTTGGCAGCGGGGCTGGGATCGTGTTCACTCCCAGGGGAACTACTTCGAGGGTGATGGATGAATTTAATACCTGAGATAAGTGTACGGGTTTTTATACGCGCAGTCTGGAAACTTTCCGATCGCACCACTGCTGAATGGATTTTTGCAGCGTGGTGCTCACGACAGGAATGCTCTTACGGTGCCAGTGAATGGTTGCCTGCACACAGCGCACGTCGAGAGCGATGGTGCACATTTCACACATGCCACAAGGTGACCACAAGGTAAGAATAAGACTCCCCGTTCTTCCACGTAGCAAATCTGGCAGACTCGTGCATCGTCAATTACCTTTCCATGTGAACCGTTTGCTTGCACAGTGGATGCCTTCAGGCTGGGCTCCTTACTGCAACAAAAATCCCACATCCAAACCTCATTGCCGGTACATTTTAATTGTTTCAACTAATTAACTCGGGGATAGAGCCAATCATCCATTTAACGTGCATGTAACACACCACCAACCATTTAGCCTCCTTTCCTTATTTGGATCATAACACTAATTAGTGTTGTTCGTGGGCGGATACCACAGTTTGGACAAACATAAATCTTCAAGGTAAAAGTGAACTTCTCTGAATACACACCTTGATGATGATGATGATGATGATGATGCCTCTGTCTTCTGCAAGTCTCCCAGCAGGTTCTTCAGATCCTAGAACATGAAGCAGTTCTCACGAGTACGCTCAGGACTCACCAAAATCAAGTCTCCGCTGAATTACGAGCACACGAAAATGTGACACCATCACAAACTACTACGACACAGGCAGACATAAAACTTCACAGCGGCCTGTACCTCCGAGAAGACGCGCAGTTCCAAGAAAATGAACTTGATCAGTTTCTGGGTTGAATGAACTGAAGAACAAGAAAACTTTTGTGCAAGAAAAATACTGAATATTGCCGAGAAATGTTGGCAGACACCGAATGTCCACAGGGATTTTCATGGTAACGTTCCTCTGCCGTACTCACGCAAGTCTTAAAATCAATGGATTCTGTGATTTATACAGATGGTACTGGCAGAAAGTTTAACGCTGGCTCTGAGACACATCTTGGCCTGGCAGAAAAGTACGATTCGGTGACCCAAAAATGAGCACAGGAATCTCATCAAGAACCTTCTGAATGGAGTCTGGTGTCTTACCCTGAGGCCAGAGAACCCCTAGCAGTGAGAAATGTTACAGCCACAGAAACGTACGTCTGCTTATGTTATGACTCGTTTAAATTATTATCTTACAAAGAGATGCTGCCCACAACCTGGAACATCAGCAGTCACCACTGACGTGAACGTTAAAACAGGGAATTCAGTGAAGCGTGGCACTAGATGCGTACGAGGTGCGATCATAACGTTCTTAGCAAAAACCAAGTCTTATTCTTCACACATGAAAAACAAATAATCTTACGCTGACACATGTCAAGTTTGGTGTGAGAAACATAAATATGCAGCTTCTTACACCTTTTCTGCAAACAAGAATAGAAATTTTGAGGTAAATTACGCAGAATGAGTCAATTACAAGACGCTACGCAAAACCATACTGCAAACTACAATAGAGTCCCAATTATCCCGCCTTCAGATATCCGGCGTGCCACGTCGGAAAGCTCAATTTCATCGACGGCAAGGTCTGCACGTAGCAGAATGAATGACACCCCCCCCTCCACCATGAACCTTTAATATATTTTATGCGCTCAGTTGCTACTACAGGCACTGCTCAAAAGTTGCCACAAAGAAAACGGAGGTGGCTCAGAAGCAGGTACCCATCACCGATTTCTCTTTCCCAGATGCTCACCTGGACTCGAACATCGGATTCCTTTGGCCGATGACATTCTCGAATGGATTCCCGCCCCTTGTTCAGCACAACGTACACGCACTTGGGAAACCACGCTGCATGTTCAACCCATGGGTCATCCGTCTCCCCCCAGTCTTTGAGTCCTCCACCGCAGTGGAAACACACCGTTTGGTCTCCGTTACCTGCCAGCACAGAGACACCGCTACATCAAATGAGCCTGAATACAGCGTCCTCAAAGACAATCGAGTGGCCACTCTTCTCGCGCCTCTCGGTTTTACTTTAGACAAACCGGAAGGCAATACACACCAGCCATGACTTACCCGTGTAATAGAACCCTGCTTCACTCAGTTTGTCTGGCTTCTGTTTGAGGGAGCGCGGCCAGTTCTCATACGACCGCACACGTGAATCATACGTGTTGTAAGACGGGTGCATTGGCCCGTGGCTCTGGTTGATGCCATACTTCTGCAACTCCTCTGGTGTCAAAAGGTTGTGATACAGCCCACGGCTGACAGCTGCAACAACAAACAATTTTCAAAGCTGTGTCCAGTTTCACAAGCAACCAGCAGCAGTCTGAGTTGTGAGCGATGCAACGCACCTCGCTCCGGGCCAGAATTCGGCCTAAACTCTAGGAACGGTCCGCAGACATCATAGCTGCGACTCTCTTGTGTCTCAGGGTGGCCGTCAGAATTGATGGGAATGTTTCCAACTGGCATCCCTCTAACAAACCCACAGGATGGGGCCCAGCGCTGATGATCCGTGAAGGGTGCATCTCCTTCCTCCCACTGTCCCACCTGAACTCCACAAAAGACACACTGCACCACATCACCTTGGTTCGTGTAGTAGAAGCCAGCAGCTGACAGAGCATGTGGGTCCATGAACACGATCGACCATTTCTCATACGTTTTCAGACGTTCAGCCTCACTCTTCAAGTTTAATGATTGACAGATATTAGTGGCAGGCTGGTGTGGTGGTGAGGCACAAGGGGCAGTGGAGCTGGAAGGTGTGACGTCTGCTGGAGGGCTGTCCACAGTGTCCACGGAGGATTTGGGGTGTTGGCGGTTCTTTTCAATAGGCACTGAGAGAGCTGCATTAACGCCATTTTGAGGCATAACATGCGACATTAGCAGCAAACGTTAATTTGTTTTTTTCTTCTTCTAAATTTCTTCAGTTGCGGAAAAACAATCAGCTACGTGCTCTGAAATGAACAATACAGCCTTTTGTTTCTTTACATACACTAGAGCAGGGCGCTCCTTTCGGAGCTCCTGGGGAGGGTTGCTCAAGTTTGTAAAACGCC